CTGAGTCTTATTTTTTTTCCAATTTATTTCATAAAGTAACTTCTGTAGTGGTTGAGATTGACAAAATAGAATTGAGATAATTTCTGTTAGACCATAGTCTTTAATAAGGCAGTCGAGCTTTTTGAGCAGCAGTTGTTGGCGAAGCATACCATATGCCTCTGTAAGGTCAACAAATGCAGCTCCAGTTCTTTTCTTTGTCTCAAAGCTGTCTTCTCTGTGCTGGGCTAGATTTAAGATTTGTTTTGGTACAGCTCTTGCCAGAAATAAAGCCTGCCTGTTCTGAAATTAGAAGAGATTCAGTTTTAGGGGCAAGATGGTTTAATATCAATATCAGTCATTCAAACACTTTGTAGAAGTGGCATCGTAGGAAGATTGACCTGTAGCTTTTGGGGTCTGATGGTTCTTTGCCTGCTTTCAGGATAGAAATTGCTTTCATCTTCTGCCTTGTTATTTGAATTTGTTTGTTCATCCAGTAGCTATTAAAGAGACAAGTTCCCTACCCTGAAATATTGCTACACATAGAGTACAAAAAAGAAAGAGAGAGAGAGGTGTCAGCATAATGCTGAAAGGTAACTCATTTTAGATGGTTTGGGATCCAATTAGACAGTGTGATGTTCCCGGCCCCCTAAAGGGTCACAGGGCACTCGGCCAAAGAGTTTGACCAGCACTTATCTACCACCTTCACGCTGGATCGAGTCCTTAGACCTCAGCAGTGCGTAGCATAAGTCCTTTGACTAAGTCTGACCTAAAAAGAACACTTTGCACTTACTCAGTACTTTGCAAGTACAGGCGCATGGACTTTGTGATTCCTTAGAACTCACCTCAGCTCAGTTAGGTAGGACTCTTAAAGATAGCTAGTTTGTGACCCTCTCCACTTCCTGGATTTAGTCAGACCCTGCTGTTCAAGAGACCGGACCTCAGTAAGGAATTTTAATAATTAATTTTTATTAGAAAAATAAAGTTTCATTAGAAAATCAGTTTATATTGCAAAAGCATTTAGCATTAAGAACATATTCAAAGATTACTGCAGTCAAGTAAAATAACTATTTCCCATTAAAAATAATAAACTACTAAGCTGAACTAAGGTAAGCTATACTGGGCTATGGTGGGCTAGCCCCCACCTCCTTCTTTCTCCTTTACTTACATCCTCTCTCCTTCAAGCTACATGCTCATACCATCATCATGGACTGAAATCCATCATCAGATCAACACGCGAACCATTGAAGACAATTCACATAACCCGTCTTCCATTTTCTACCCTCCTAACTCCTCCCTTCTTCATGGCCTATTCTGGCTGTCAACCAATTAACCTTAAGAGGTTGTACCACCTCTTTCCTCCCATAATTCCCATGAGAGTCCAGGTTGTTGTTTGTGTCTTCCGTAAAAAGCTTGGAATGTTGAGTCTTCCAGGGCCTGTCGACATGGCCTTCAAGATATCTGGATGCTTGGCTGTGACAGTCACAGGAAAACATTCTCATGGTGCTTAGAAAAACACATTTCAAAGTCTCTCAAATCATGAACCATGCTCAAACAGAGCATGGACAGAGTTCCTACTCCAGTCCTCTGACGATGCTGGCCACAGAGACTGGCGAAACGTCAGGAAGAACAACCTTCAGAACACGGCCAAAGAGCCCAAAAAACCCACAACAACTATCTCTCAAATCATCTTCACACAGAACCATTCTGACCACGTTTTACATCTCTCAGACTACATATCCCATCATCATGACACGCTTCTGACCACATACCCCATGATCATGACAGACAGTGAAGGAGGATTGCACTCAAAAGGGCCACATTGCTGGGGGTACTCTCCTTTAGAGTTATCTTTACATGCACACACAATCTAGTTCTTTGTCGCTCAACAAACAAATAAACAAGCAAGCAAGCAAGCAAGCAAGCAAGAAAACAAATAAAGTGGATCTATAACTGAACCAAAAGGGTTTCTGAGAGATTTGGATAGGCATGGAAAAGGACTGGGCTAGTTCGCGCTAAGCTTTATGTCGTGTAGTTGCTGCAAAATAGATTGGACTTAACCTTTCCAACAGGACAAAAAAAGGAGATAAATCACCATCTGAACAGATCTTTCCTTTTTGCCATCTGCGATTCATAATATCCCATACCATAGCGAAACAAGTTGGAAACCTGTGGTGCCCATAGCAGAAAGCAATCCTAAAAGAGAAAACAATGGAGTGAGGTGCCCTATTTCATACTAGGCAATCTGTATCCAGAAAATGCAGTAGTTCATGAAACAGAATGTCATTATGGACAACAGTATCGTACACATCACTAAAATGTGTTCCTGGAAAGCCTTGCCTGGTTGCTTCCTTCCAGAGCTTCAAGGGGAAGTCCCCAGGGCTGACATGCAAAGCTAATGTGCCCATGAAAACAGGAACAACCCGACGAGGTACATGTTTCTCTTGGTTTGCTATGTTCTCTTGTGGCAGCCCTTGATTCCTACCTGGAAATGTTCTCTCATAAACTGTGATTGCTCAGTGTGTCTCCATTTGGTCTTTGCAAGCTAGTCCTCTGGTGCTTTGCATAGTCCTCTTGCCAACGCCTCTTCTGGTCCCAGGTTTGAGAAGATGTAGACTCAACCGTGAGTCTACTTCCCTTGATCTCTTTCACAGCCTCTGCCTTCAACCTCAAGGTTCTTGGTAGTTTTGCCAACTCGCTATCGAGTAGGGCTGCCGCCAGATGTTTTGTTGGCCCACTGAGGAACAAAATGACACACAGAGAACCACTATTCAATGCGCAGAAGCCTATGGCATCTGAGTCGTACTCCAACTTCAGCAGCCTTTATTACACTTCAGAACAGCAGGATAAAACACAGGGAGGTCAGGTAGATGTGGAAGTAGGGGAGTCAAGTACAAGTGGAAGTCCAACTGTTCACTGCTGTTGGAATATGGGACCAGTATACGTAGTAAGTCAGCTGTACAGGTGGGGGTGGAAATAGGCAGATAGCCCAGATGTTTCTCCCTATCTTCTCCATTTCTATATGTAGCCTGGTCTATATATAGACTGATCTATAAACCTACCGGTACCAGTCTATGCACATATATATTGGTAGATTTAAACTTCCTCACTTCTTTCTTTTAGGTTATTTCCTGTCTCTCTACTTTAATTAGAGAAATTGACCTGCATGCATAGAAATTAGCACTAGGAGCTTCTCTGTTAAGTTTAGGCTCTTTCTCTTCCTGCTATCTATAAAAAGCTTCCCTTGAATACACTATACAGTATTTAAGTCCTTTTGTCTAACAGCATATTCCTAAGTTACTGTCTCTCTTCAACAGCCACAGACTAAGTCAAGGTTACTTCTCTTTCCCTGTGAAACAGCAAATAATCTTGAGATGCTAGATCTGCCCTACCACAAAGCCTGCAGTTGCTCATAATGAATGTTAAGCTGGCCCACAGTAGGGCCTTCGACGTACTTCTGCCTTGAACAAGGATAATGAGACCAGCCTCTCTTGCTTCAGCAAAATTTGGGTCACTTGGGCAAAGCTTTCCTTCCCGCTGACCTGCTCAATCATTCTTGTGGCTGGCAGTTGAAAAATCCTAGGACAGGATATGACATGGAAGGAAAGAATCTCACTGGATATCTCTGCCAACTTTAATGAACTGGAAGGGGATAATGGCCAAAAGATTGAGTTAAAGCAACAGAATATTCAGCTCAGTAACAAGTTAGGTTTCTGGCTGTGGAGTCAGAGGTTTGGGAGTTCACTGTGCATCTCAGAAGAGCCAGCCTATGTGGCCTTGGGCAAGCTGCACTGTCCAGGTAAACCTCTCCTGAGTACTCTGTACCTAGAAAACGCTGGAAGGTAAGGTAAAGGTAAAGGTTCTCCTTGACATTTAGCCCAATCATGTCCGACTCTAGGGGGCGGTGCTCATCCCCATCTCCAAGTCATAGAGCCAGCGTTTGTCTGTAGACAATGTATTCGCAAAGCTGTAAACAGCTTCCATGGTCACGTGGCCAGCGTGACTAGACACGGAACACCGTTACCTTCCCACTGAGGTGGTCCCTATTTATCCACTCATATTTTTACATGCTTTCGAACTGCTAGGTTGGCAGGAGCTGGAACGAGTGACGGGAGCTCACTCCATTGCGTTGATTCGATCTTACGACTGCCGATCTTCTGACCTTGCAGCACAGAGGCTTCTCCGGTTTAACCCGCAGTGCCACCATGTCTCTGGAACGTGGCTACCCTGGAAAGGGTTGCCATAAGTCAGAATTGACAACATCACTTGGCAAGTCTCAAAAGTTTTCTGTTCTATAGGAACCTGAAACGTAAACAGCATGAACCCCGTGGAACTCTGCACCTCTTGGGCAGGTAGAAAAGGACACAAGAATATTAGTGATCTGTCTTCTCGAAGGCTTTCACAACTGATGGTTGTTGTAGGTTTTTTGGGCTCTTTGGACATGTTCTGAAGGTTTTTCTTCCTAACGTTTCACCAGTCTTTGTGGCCGGCTTCTTCAGAGGACAGGAGTTAGAACACAGACAGAGTTCTAACCCCTGTCCTCTGAAGATGCCAGCTACAGAGGGTGGTGAAATGTTAGGAAGAAAAACCTAAAGGCTTTCACAACCGATGGTTGTTGTAGGTTTTTTGGGCTCTTTGGACATGTTCTGAAGGTTTTTCTTCCTAACGTTTCACCAGTCTTTGTGGCCGGCTTCTTCAGAGGACAGGAGTTAGAACACAGACAGAGTTCTAACCCCTGTCCTCTGAAGATGCCAGCTACAGAGGGTGGTGAAATGTTAGGAAGAAAAACCTCCAGAACACAACCAAACAGCCTAAAAAACCTACAACAAACAATATTAGTGACAGTGTTTTCTTTTGCTCAGTATTTAGGAACAATATTTGCAGTTGCATCACCAATGACGTGGTAGCCATCGCAACAACAAATCTTTTGTCCCCGATCTCCTTCCCACTCCACCACGATCACTAAAAGAGAATGCTGTGGAACTGGTTTTACTAATTGATTTCCACTTTAAGAAACAGAGGAACATAACCCATAGCCTTCTCCACTAGAGTATTTAAGAGCCTGTAAGAAAGAGAAAACAGCCACAGGAAAAAGTCCCAGCGTCCTGGAACTTTATGGTCAGAACAGATCATTTTTCTGGAAGACAAGGTGAGATGTTATGATGAGGCTTGTTTTCAGATCTGCTTGTCACCCGAGTACTGCAAAACTAAAACTATGGAACGTCCCGTGTAGGGTCATCAGATGGAAAGAACTATTTTCTGTGTTTTATTTTCTCTGGAACAGGAGTGGCAGAAAAGGTTTTACATTACAGCTGAAATGCAAGATTCCTCCACAGATCAGATTCAGCTTGGGATCTTTTTTTATATCTACCAAGTTTGAAATTAAGAAAACTTCTTTTAAGAAATAGGCTGGGACACCATATGTTCATGACCCAGTAGATTAAAAAAATCTGCATGCAGAGAAGAAATAGCCTATTGTCTTTTGGAGCTGACCATCCTCTGTGTAAAGTGCTGTCATGGAAGAGTCTTCTTTTCTCGGACAAAGAAATAGTAGAAGAGAGACCAGAAAGGTGCCAGCCTACCATCAGCACCTGGACAGCCCGCTCAGTTAGCATATAGATCACCTGGCTGCAGGCTTTGTCATTCCAGTGAGATAGGGTATAACTCATTTACAATTATACAATTCATTTAAAATTACATCTCTCTATATAAAGCAATATATGCCAATTTTATGCAAATCAGTGTCTTTAAAAACATTCTCTTTTTGAGTGATATGTGCCTGGCAATCCTCTCTCTCTCTCTCTTTCTCTCTCTCTCTCACACACACACACACACCCCTCACTCTCTGTATGCTCTCCCCCACCACTTCTTATTTATTCTGGTTGCTCATCATAACTTTCTCTATGTCTAATTAGTTAAAACAGTTCTGAGCTAGTATGATGTTGTACATGTAAGAAATGTTACATAAGCTTTCCCCTCTTTTGGCAGAAGTCCTGTCGCACAACAACCTTACTTTATTCTGGTTGCTCATCGTAGCTTTCTCTATGTCTAATTAGTTAAAAAAGTTCTGAGCTAGTATCATGTTGTACATGTAAGAAATGTTACATAAGCTTTCCTCTCTTGTATGCTCTCCCCCACCACTTCTTATTTATTCTGGTTGCTCATCATAACTTTCTCTATGTCTAATTAGTTAAAACAGTTCTGAGCTAGTATGATGTTGTACATGTAAGAAATGTTACATAAGCTTTCCCCTCTTTTGGCAGAAGTCCTGTCGCACAACAACCTTACAACTAGTGAGAGACTGGACACACAATGGATAGCCTGCAAAGCTTGGGGAGGGCTGGCTGGCTGGCTGATTGACTGATTGATTTCTCTCTCTCTCTCTCTCTCTTTCTCTCCAATCTTTCTTCTTAAAAATAACCCAAGGCAGCTTATGTGATCTCCTTTCGATACTCTAGCAAGGAGAATCCAAGGCAGCTTATGTTATTTATTTATTTTATTTATTTATTTATTGCATTTATACCCCGCCTATCTAGTCATTTCCACCAGTCCAGGCGGTTATGTGATCACCTTTCCACAGTCAAGCAATGTGACAGGATACTGGCTGTAATTATTAAGTTTTAACCTTAAACAAATTAGGTTCTCAGTTAATTAAGCCACTGTTTTAATTGTATTTGGCCCTTGTCGGGGCAAATATTAACCAAATTTATAAGCATAATTTGTTTATTCCAGGCCGTGGTATTTTCACTGAAAAAGTGTTAAGTCCTTTCATCCTCTGTGAAAAGGGAAAAAAATCTGGTCGCCATGCAGACAGGCAGTGTTCTACAGAAGTTCAGAGGTAATTAATAAAAACACTGCCAGCGTTTTCTTCCAGAACAGGCTGGTCTGGGCTTCATAAGAAAGCACAGATACAGTTCAGAAGCTCATGCAGCAGTGGTCCTCCAGATGCTGCTGAACTCCACTCCCCATCAACCTGACGCACCAGTGGTAGTCAGTGATTCTGGGAGTTGTAGTCCAACAACCTCTGCAGGACCACAGGCTCCCTGGGCTCTTGAGCTGGAGCTGGATTTGCAGAGGTTGGCTACAATTCCACCAAATGTTCAGCATGCTGAAGCCCACTTTTTTGCTTGTATGGATCCAATCCAAACGGCTCCAGCAGCTGAAGGGCCCTCCATGAAAACAGATAAAAGCCCCTATCTTCAATGTTTTGGAATGTGCGAAGTGAGACTTCTCCTGTGCCTCTTCTGAACATCTTTAGTACTCTGTACAAAATGAAAACTTACTAGTGTTTCAGGAACAGCCCCTTTGCTCTTGGTCTCTGGGGCCACAGCAAACATGGGACCTTACTATTACGTGAGGCAAAGTTACTTTTTGGACTACAACTCGAAAGATCCTTCACAAGTAACGCTCCCCAGTTGTGCCTGAGAACCATGAGCTGTTGAATTGCTCAACTCACTTTTCATAATACTGTATAGGAAAACTTGTAAGAGAGACAAAAAAAGACAATGTGGCATAGTGGTTAAAGAGTTGGATCAGAACTTGGGAATTCCAGGTTCTAGTGCCCCATGGAGGAAAAGGAAAACTATACATTGGTACCTCGCTAGACGACGACCTCGTAAAACGACAAATCTGCATGACAATGAGGTTTTGTGATCACTATAGCGATTTGCAAAACAGTCATTCCTATGGGGGATTTTCGCTGGACGATGATTTGTTCCGTGCTTCACGGACCGTTTGTTCACAAGACAATGATTTTTACAGCTGATCGGTGGCTCTGCAAAATGGGGTCCTTGTGTTTTCGGGACCCATGCTGCGCAGGACAGCCATTTTAACAGCTGATCGGCACTCGCAAAATGGCTTCCCTATGGGCGATCTTCGCAGGACGACGACGTATTTTCCCCCTTGGAACACATTAAATGGGTTTCAATGCATTTCAATGGGGAAACGGATTTTGCATTACGATGATTTCGCTAAACAGCGATTTCTATGGAACGGATTATCATCGTCATGAGGGGCACCAATGTATATTGTTGCCCTGAATATTGGGGGTGTCTATGAGGAGTAACAAAATAAAAATTGCAAACCATTCATTATTTCCTTTTTTTTTCTTTTTCCATTTTCAGGACTCTGTTGTATTACGTGGCTGCTGCTGTGCCTTCTTGCTCAGTACGAAAATGGTGGAAAGGTCCTGGCTTTATCTTCATCAGCCAAACCCTACAAAAGTAAAGGGCAAATTAAATAAGATTTGAGAACTGGGGTGGTGAGGGTGGTAATGGACCGGGTGACTGCTAATGGGCAACAGAGTTAAATTTGTAACCTTGGATGCAAACAGGTGGGAAAATAGCTCGCTTTGTAGACTGCTTGTAGCGCAATCAGGTGAGAGCTATTTTCTCATGATCAGATGATGTACAGGAAATCGCAAATCAGCTTGATGTGATCCATGCCCAAACTGGACCTTTTTGGTTCATCAGCAGGGCTACTCTTTTTTTGAAGAGGCAGGGGGAACAAGGCTGGAGTAAAACCTGCACAAATTGAAGGGTCACTTTAAGAGAGATTGTTCCTGCAAGGTGACCCTTTCCAGCATGATCAAATATTGTCCTTTATCACCACCTGATCACACCTTTTCTCTAATTAGTCTGGTTAAAATTAATATCAATATGGGGGAAAAATCCCCCCCCATAAAATTTCTTTTTAGACATTTCCTTTGTGGGGGGAAGAGGGCTTTTTTTAAGTGCCGAAGGAACTATTCATAACCTATGTTGCCAATAATTTGTGTACAACCAAAAAGGTACAACCTATTCAGAAAGAGAAACAGAAACTAGATGAAGGCTCCTTTTTGCATTTACAATATTATAAATTATATCAAAGCTCCTTTCTTCATTTTCCCCCTTGGGAGGAAAAGATCTGTATGTCAATGACAACATCAAACGTCCCTCCCCGAGGATGTGGTTCTGTCTCTCATGCTGTTCTTTCTTCCCTGCAGCCAGTGTGACTTTTGATCCAAAGACGGCGCACCCAAATCTTGTGGTGTCTCAAGACAAGAAGACGGTCACATGGGTCCAGGAAGCCCAAAGTGTGCCTGACAACCCAGAGAGATTCAACAGCACCCCTTGCTTGCTGGGTTCCCCAGGGTTCACATCTGGGAAACATTACTGGGAAGTGGAGTATGGGAACCAGAGAGAGCTCGCAGCGGGGGTGGCCCGGAAGTCTGTGAAGAGGAAGGACCACCTCCGACTTACTCCAGAGGAAGGGATTTGGCAAGTGGGTCGCTGGTGGCTTCGGCGAGGGGGGCCTGAAAACCAAAGTGACTCAGGAAAGATTGGCGTCCTTCTGGATTATGGAAGGAATCAGGTGACTTTTTATATGGATAATAAAGTCACTGTAGTCCGGGCCTCATTCAATGGGGAGGAGGTTTTCCCCTTCTGCTACGTGGGGTCCACTGTTTCCCTCCGTTTAAATCCCTGAGCTTCCAGGGGTGACCAGGGGAAGGTCTCCAAGAGAAAGCGACATTAGGCTGTTTCAGCATGTATTTCAACAATAAAAATAAAACAGTCGTGCCCCTTCTCCTTCCAGACTAACAGATTTATTTAATGTGAGTTTTCACAGGCTACAATCTGTCTCCTCAGACAGAAGGCGTGCATTTGGAAGACGTCCTTATAACGGCAGACGATGCATCTTTAATGCTCAATCGACTTTTGGAAGGAATGCTGAAATATTGTTCCTCCACCATAATCATCATCATATGGTGTCAAGTCAGTTCTGGCTTAGGGTGACCCTTTTCAGGGTTTTCCAGGTAGAAAATACACAGAGATGGTTTACCTTTCCATTCTTCTGGGGGGGAATCTGGGGCTGCAGCTTGCCCAAGGCCACCCAGGCTGGCTCTTCACCCTGGAGGCAAAGTGGGAGGATCACAATCTCTGGCTCTGCAGCCAGATACCTAAAGCAGTGGTCCCCACCCTTGGGCCTCCAGATGTTCTTGGACTTCAACTCCCAGAAATCCTGGCCAGCAGAGGTGGTGGTGAAGGCTTCTGGGAGCTGTAGTTCAAGAACATCTGGAAGCCCAAGGTTGGGGACCACTGACCTAAAGGACTGAGCTATCCAGTCAGCTCTTGCCTCCCACAAGCATACTTAATACTCCTCTTCCCTACCTTATGTTCACAATAACCTTGTGATGTAGGGCAGGCAAAAAGTGAATGGATTAATTCCCCTGAGGAAGCTCCCACTGCATGTCTGAACTTGGGTTCCCCAGGTCCCAATCCAACCTGAACCACTGCATTACAAAGTCTAATCCCTCCCACTATCTTTGTGATGACAACGGCATTCATAAAAATTCAGCAAGTGAAATACAGACACACATTTAGTCTAACACCTGGTATGATATTTTGTGACCTGTAGGGCATCTCATTCAGCATGATCTGCTCTGGCTGTGGTTTACTGAAGAGGAATCTGGCAGCCCTCTTAAAACAAAGGTACTGAGCACTGCAGGCGACAGCGTGTTCTCCTCCCGCTGAGCTGTTTGCCTTAGCAGGGTGACGGCCATTTCCCCTGCTGCATCAGATGAGGAACAAACGGAAATTAAAAATAGAACCCAAAAACTACATGACATAAAGCTTGGCATGGGAAAGTCCAACAGGGATTTGCCACTTTTCTGTGGGGAAAATTGTCTCCTTTTGTTCCTTCAGCCAGCAGGGGGTGATTTGCCCAGCATCGCTTTTCTCCACTTTCTCCCCTCAGTGATCACCTGATCTGATTGATGCAAAGGGGCAGTTGTAGGGCAGGGGGAAATTTCTCTGGCCTGCAAGACAGTGTTACTGTTAGCTGGGCAAAGGAAGGGAACTTGGAATGGCGGTCCCTATTGCCAAGGCGCAGTCTCTTCTACGGTTTTCATTCTGGAGTGAGGGCCGTTGGGTTCTTCTTCTGAAAGACGCACTATTCTTTATCAACACAGCAGAAGTAAAATTTCAGCAAGTGCAAGGATCTTTAATAGGGAAATGAATTGATGGTGAGAGCTAGACCTGGTGAATTGGTGTCTCCTGTGAAACAGTTAATAGCACACTGTCTTTCAGGAATAATCTGAGACTGATGATAGAAAACATCTACTTGGTCGCGGGGGGTATTCGTTCCCCTCAACTTGTTGCAACATTTTTGAGATTTCTTGTCCTCTGGAAGGTCCTAGAGAAAGAAATCCTACCAGAGAGAGAGAGAGAGAGAAATGGCCGCACACACAATTTGGGAAAGCTTTATTATCTGGTTAATTGATCTGCAGGTTAAGGAGACACAAAGGGGAGAAAGTCTACCCAAATCAATCTGGCTCACCATGTTCAGTTTTTGGGGAGCTTATAAAGGCTGATAGTCAAGTTGCATTAAACAAGCAAATGTTTGTACATAAAGTGTGGATCACAATGGACAAACTGTTTATTCCTGGGTTATCTTTACAAAGACGTCGCTGATAGGTTTTGGAATGCGTCCTTTGCGTTTATCCTGTTCATCACCAAGGCTAAATAAGCATTTTGACATTGCCTAATTGTTTATATTATATTATGTCTCTGCTCTCTAACTGTTCTTCTACTGCCTTGGAATGCCAGCTGTCTTTCCTATCTCGTGTTTTCCTG